AAAAAAAAAAAAAATTAATCAAAATCTAAATTTAATCTAACTTTAACTCAACTTTATTATCCTCAATTTTATCCATATAATTAAATAATACTAATCAATCATCTTTGTACATCATATCAATTTTATTTTACAATGTATCCTGCTAGTTTATTTTTTACCCCCCTAAAAATTTCATATATCTTCCACAGTACTGGGTGCCTAAACAGAACTAAGAAGCCAAGAAATTCTTGAACCACTTGACAGAATCCTTAGCATATCTCTTCATGTTGTCCTTATAATCCACATAGTATAATCCAAACCTTGAACTATATCCAGCTGCCCATTCCCAGTTGTCTAGCAACGACCACGCGAAATAGCCTCTCACGTTGCAACCATCGTCACTGTTTGTTAAGAACATCGAAATTAAAATGAATTCACCACAAGAGTTAGTTAAATATAACTGAAAACATGATATAGGGTTAATTCATCCAAATTAGAAGATGAACTAATTACTTTATAGCTGCTAAGAGGTTCGTTAGATAGTCGTTGTGGTACTTAATACGCTTCTCGTCCTTGAGAGCGTCTTTAATGGACTTAAACAGGCTGTTTCCATCATCCATTCCTGTTCATAAGAGTGCCACAAAAAAAATATATATCAGATGCTAATTACGAAATATGAAAATGCGACTATAGTAGTGTTTCAATAGTAGAGATTATTTACCGTTCTCAGTTATTAGTATAAGCGGGTTGCCATATTTCTGCTTAATGTAATTCATCAAATTTCTTATCCCACGAGGCACGATATACAGCCATACAGAATTTGCCTGCTCGTACAAATAAATCAATTAGTAAAATATTTTTTTTTCTCAACAATGATAATATATAAAAATAAGTTTTTGGTATCTAAATCTAAATCGAAATGTAATTCTGCAATTATGAAAATTAGAAAAAGAGCATAAACAAAATCTTATAGCTAGTTAGTCTGCATACCTTGTCAGGTATAGGCTTTCCCAATACAAATGCTGGAAGAAAATTCAAAACCAATGCTTATCAGAGACCTTATATTACAAAATAAACGCTTAAAACCGAAAGAGAGAGAGAGAGAGAGAGAGAGAGAGAGAGAGAAAGACTCTCAACGTACGCAAAATCAAGGCGCCGGAGTCAGAAAGTGTGTCGTTGAGCAAGACATTGATTATGTCTACATTGTTTTCGCTTGCAAACCACGTTGTGTAGTGATTTATGCCTATGAAATCGAACGAGCCCTTGACTTGAGTTGACTGTGCCGGTGAAAATGTTGGCAGCCGGCTTCCGACCCTTGTTCTCATTGCCTTAGGATAGTCTCCAACAATTAGAGGCTCCAAAAACCTGATTTTTAAGTATAAGACAAAAAAAAATGTTTGGAGGGAAATATTGTTTTAGTAGTGTTCGAAAATAAATAAATAAATAAATAAAATGAAATGAAAATCGAATCCTTACCAGCCCAAGTTAAAATCGATTGCTCTTTGTGCTGCTTGAACATCAGCAGCGGAATTTGTCGCCGGTTCGTACCAAAACGAGTCCAATGATATTCCGATCGATCCTCGCTGCTTTGGCTGACTCGAAAAAGAAAAGATTCATTTGGGATTTCAAAAAGTCTTATAAAATGTTGATGTATTCAACTTATTTGAGACTAAGATTTGAAAGAAAAAAACATATACGAAATCTCACTCCAAACCAGACTTAAAAATTTCACATGATTCCTCTAAAATATGAAAATTGTATCAAATTTCAAATCTCAAAAAGTCTCAAAATGTCACTCGAAATCCCAAACAAATACACCATTTATCCAACTTTTTCGTTGAGTTAAACCATTGAAAGCATCATATATATATATTTACAAGTTGTCGATACATTCCAACTAAAATCAAAATCAATCAACGAGAAACACAAAATCACCTTGTATTTCCTCTTATAAATATCCACCACGGCCGCATGCGAAAGTAGCAAATTATGAGCAACAATATATGGCTCGGTTGCCGAGTTTCCAGCTCTGCAGAACGCATGCAGAAGAATCGAACATCGGCCCGGAGCCTGAAGCCCGGCATCATATCCTTGAGTAGAAATCGTATGCGGCTCATTTAAAGTGATCCAATGCTTCACCCGATCACCAAACGCCTTAAAGCAAGTCTCGGAATATGTTGCAAAATCTTTTCTGTTAAAACCAAATTGAAATGTGTAGCAAGAAATAAATGAAATAATCAGTTAATTAGTGTATTTGGTGATTAAGTATAAAAAAATGATTAATATCTCTTACATGATTTGAGGACTCAGCCATCCATTATATTTGTCTTCCAGGCTTTGAGGGAGGTCCCAGTGATAGAGTGTCACATATGGTTGAATTCCTAAATGTGTGTTATTGTGAATCAAGATTTTCAGATTCTAATACTAAATAAAGTTTAATTTTATAAGGTTTGATTATCAGTGTTACCTTGGTCAAGCAAAGCATTGATGAGATTGTTGTAATGATCTATTCCAGCTTGGTTTATTTCCCCTGTTCCATCTGATAACAAAATAATTTTCAAATTTTACAAAATTATAACCATTTTTTTTTATTATTATTATTAGTTGAGATTTTGCTCACTTGGATAAATCCTGGACCAAGAAATTGAGAACCTGTAGGCTTCCATCCCCATGTCTTTCATCAGCTGTACATCTTCCTAATTTTTCCAGAGACAGATTTTTTTATCCAAAATGAAAAAAATTCCATACTGTATTTTAAATAAATAAAAAAGTAACTTTTCGTGGTCACTTTATTTATAACTTGTTAAAATTTTGAATTAAAAAAAAAAAAAATCATTTGCAAAAGACTTACAGAGTAGAGGTGGTATTGATTATTTGCAACATCTGCATTGCTAAAGTCGATTACTTTTCCTGGGACAAACACAAGCAAATTAAAACAACAGATAGAGAAAGTATTAGTACAATAATTTTAATGTTTTGACTCGTGTGATAAGGCAACAATTGACTAATATGTGAGAATGATTGATTTCATTGTTTTCTGGCTGCTAACATGTCAATCAGTAGCTCGGAATTTTATTGTGATGATAAAAAGACTTTTTTTTTTTTTTTTTNTTTCTTATTATTTACCAAAAGAGTGGGCAAATGTGTCCCAGATTGTCTGACCCCTTCCGGCCTCCATAACAGCTCCTTCATACTGGAAAAATAATAATCAAACTTAATTAAGGATTAATTATAAATATTATAATATATGAATGAGGAACAAAAAGTCCACAAAAATTCATAAACATAGATAATAAATATAAATACACAGTTTCGAGCCTAGATATCAACGTCTCGCGTAATCCTATGTAACAAAGAATGGTAAATGTTAGATTGAGATATTCGGACTTATTAGGAAAAGAATGGTAAATGTTAGATTGAGATATTCGGACTTATTAGGAAAAGAATGGTAAATGTTGGATTGAGATATTCGGACTTATTAGGAAAAGAATGGTAAATGTTAGATTGAGAAATTTGAACTTATTAGGAAAAGAATGGTAAATGTTAGACTGAGAAATTCGGACTTATTAGGAAAAGAATGTTAAATCTATCAAGAGACGAAGAGGTGTGGTTTCATATAGGTGAATATCACCATAATAGGGCAACTCTAGTTGTCACTTCAGTGTGGTTTCATCCCAAAATCAATTGGTGATAGGTGGTTACTATGGAACAACTCAAAAGTGATATTCCAACAGTAAATGAATCTAGCCGATCTCAAACTTCAGATACTCGAGCTGGAGCTCAAACCTTTAACGAGTTGTGTAAGAATATTTATATTCTTTTATTATTGTGGATCATATATAATTAATTTGACCTAATTGAATTAATTGTCAAACTTAATTAAGGTAAATATGTATTTAATGGATTATTAATATTATAATAAGAGAAACCCCTCACTCTCATCTTCACTACACCTTTCGGTTCCCGATCCGCAGCCAACCTCATCCTCATCTGCGACAAGAAGTAGTTGATGTCTCCCATGAAGAATTCTTTCCAGTCGCGCCTACTGCAACAACCCATTCCCTCCTCCAACTACCGCTTAACTTAGGCTCGCCGAAAAGCATGACCCCGACCCATTGGACCCCAACACGCGGTGGCAAACAAATTGACCTCCATGCGACGTTGTCTGTTCATTCGTTGTCTCCCTCGATGGTTATCGTCGCTTCAATCCGACGAGATTCGGCCTCTCTTCCTTTCTGGTCTCGAACGAAGCTTGCTGACACGTCGACTGGAAATTCAGCCACGTGGCAATCTTAGATGAGTTGCAGCATGGGTCATGCTTTGGTGAGGCTTCGACAATTGGCGCCCGTGACCTGGCGTAGCCGAAAAACTTGAAAAGGTCCGACGAGTTGGAAGAAAACGATATCGGCTTGGACGTGAGGGAGATGGTGCCGCCACATGTGGGGAGAGAGAGAGAGAGAAGGGGGTAGGTGGGGTGGAGGCCATGGGTAGAAATACGGTGGGTAGGTGCGATGGGGTATAATGTCTAAAATACCCTAAATAATTGCAAAATTTTATTTTATTTTATTTTTGTTTCTTTTTTGTCGTACGTTTGGATTATCAAATCTTATGACTGTGATATATTCTTACTTTTATTGAGAACATTTTCACTGTTTCAAATAAAAACTAGTTCTTATGCGAGAATTGTATATGATGCTACTTTTAATTATGTATATTGTTATTTTTTATATTACATGGCGTTATTATTTACCTAAATGATTTTTACATTGTGTTGCTATTATTAATAATATAAATCCTGATTAAAAATAGTATCAAATACAATCAATAATAGCACTACGCACTATTGAAAATAGTGGTTCACACGCTATTAAAAACAGAGGTTCCCACAATTCTCGTGTTAAAGATATATTGGATTTCATTTGAATCACATTGTATATATTTAAACTGAAAAATAATACCTAAAAAATTAATAGTTCTCATAATTCAAACGTCAGTATTGGATCTCATTAAAAAAGCTAAAAGTTCTCACGTTATGGAATGAATCTCATTTGAACCATATCCTATATATTTAAACTGAAATGTTAGACTTTAAAAGACTAACAAATTCATAATATTGTATAATATAAATATATGCACTTTTGTTACACATATATGATGATCTACCCATCTATGGTTAGGCTAGGCGACTCACACAATAATTTGTGGAATTCATATATTCACATACTCATTGAATTGAATTTATCATTAATCAAATATGACTGGTTTGATTACAACGAACAAATCATGTACCTGCTAAATTTGGAATTAATTTTGATATGGGATATTATACCTAAAGGAATAAATCGGCCCGCTTAACCAGTATAATGAGTTGAGCAAACTGAGCAGGCTGGTTCGGTCGAGCAGAACTGAACAAAGGGGGTCATGGTCGAACACCACAAGAGCAAGAGCCTCTGAATTATAAGGCAATTCATAGGGAGATCTGATCGAAGATCGACCTGTTGAGTAATTGGTCGTCGAATCGACCACGTCACAGACTGAGACTGAGGATCGACCTAGGCATGGCCTATCGATATCAATTGTAGCATCATACAGTGTCGGTGGTATTTCACCAAATATTCTTAGTTTTTGTTCATATATAGAAATACATCTCTAGTGAAGCCTAAAACTACAAAGGAAAATATTAGAATATAAATTTTAAATATATTTTATTCGAATATAAATCTTTACAATGAATTACATACCTTTTAATAATTTTAATATAAAAAATACAGATAATAAAATATTAATTTCATAATTTGAAATAATATAGTTTATTCATATATTATTATTACATTTGACAATATTTTTTAATACTATAATGAAATATAGTACACTTTTTTCATTTTTATAAAATGCCCATTAAGGAAGGGAAGATTAGCTAATCCAAAAATTGGATTTCAAAATTAATTACTTATATAATTACTAACATTGCACCCATCAACAAATATGTGCAGCACATATACGATGATACTTGTCGATGAAAAAACCCCACATACAAAGAACCTAACATAAAGATTTATTCTAAACGTAAATACCATCATGAAAATATATATTTTGCCTCTTATGCATAAAGACATTTAAGCTGTTCATTATCAAGAAGAA